TGATGAAGTCAATGAAAAGTTGAAAAGTAAATAATATATTAGACTTTATAACAAAAAACCAAGCCTATGTATTAAAAACATTCAATAAAGAAATACTATATTAATTTTTTTATTTATTATAAACATTTTATTTTTATCAATTGTAATTGGAACTAAATTTCCTTCCCTCCGATATTAATATTTGTTTTTCAAATTTGCGTAACAATAAAATTTAATTTTTGCGACTGCTAGTAAAAAAAAAAATGAATGAAGGTATTTTTTTCTTACACAGAAAATAACTATTTTAAAAATATGTAGTATTTTTTACATCATGATTTAATATTTTGCTCTATAATAAAATAATACTTAGCTAAATTCTATAAAGGTAAATAAAATATTTTACAACACAAAATAAACATCACCTAATTAAATAATTTGTTTTTTTTATTTTATAATAACCAGGGGGTAAGTATTATATTAATTTAACTTTTGAAACACAAAATAAACATCACCTAGTTAAATAATTTGTTTTTTTTATTTCTTTATAATAACCAGGGGGTAAGTATTATATTTAACTTTTGCAACACAAAATAAACATCACCTAGTTAAATAATTTGTTTTTTATTTCTTTATAATAACCAGTTGGTAAGTATTATATTATAATTTAACTTTTACAACACAAAATAAACATCACCTAATTAAATAATTTGTTTTTGTATTTCTTTATAATAACCAGTGCGTAAGTATTATATTATAATTTAACTTTTACAACACAAAATAAACATCATCTAATTAAATAATTGTTTTTAATAACCAGGGAGTAAGTATTATATTATAATTTAACTTTTACAACACAAAATAAACATCACCTAATTAAATAATTGGTTTTTTTATTTCTTTATAATAACCAGTGCATAAGTATTATATTGTAATTTAACTTTACAACACAAAATAAACATCATCTAATTAAATAATTTGTTTTTTTATTTCATAGATTGTAAGTATTATATTATAATTTAACTTTTACAACACAAAATAAACATCATCTAATAAGTAAATTTATTTTTTATTTCTTTATAACCAGATTGTAAGTATTATTATCAATTAATTTTTATAACAACTAAATAAAATTAACTTTTATTTCTTTATAATAATCAGCTGGTGAGTATTAATTATATTGTATTATAAATCAATTTTTATATCCAATTAATAAGTTTATTTTTATTTATTTATAATAACCAGCTGGTAAGTAGTGTATTATAAATTAACACAAAAATAAATTTTATTAAAACATCATCTAATAAATCTTTTTTATAATAACCAGGGAGTAAGTATCATATTATAAAATTAACTTTTACAACACAAAATAATTTTTATTAAAATATCAACTAATAAATTTATTTTTCTTTATAATAACATAATAACTAGCATGTAAGTAATTTTACAACACAAAATAAATTTTTATAACATCATCTAATTAAATATCCTTTATTTCTTCATAATAACCAGCTGGTAAATATTATATTATATTATAAAATAACTTTTACAACACATTGTCTAATTAAATAAATTTATTTTTTGCATTTATAATAACAATTGAAGGTAAAATAATTTATAAATTTATCTTTTTTATAACTTTTAAATGAATGTCTATTTTTATTATGTTGAAAAATAATTCTATTCTATTTTTAATTTTTTATAATGAATAATAAGATAACACTAAGGGGTTTAAAGAAAGAAAAGAAGAATATGGAACCTGTTTTGTTTGTGCAAGATATAATACTAATTACCAGTGGTGTCAATCATGTGATCCCAAATTGTTAGCTCAAAGTTGGACTA